CTTGAAATCCCAAGAATGTTCCCACCTTCATGATTCAGTTTACCTTGTCTGCTAGTTATGCCCCAAAACCGTATCATATCTTCCAAATCATAACTTCCACCTTTCAAAAACACCCACTCAAGAAGTACAATCACAACTTATTAATCTTCCTGATGCATGTTTCTCAACATCCTTAATTTCCCACCTCCACCCCTAGTGATACATAAGCTCTCCTTTCTTTAAAAATCCTATTATCAATTTGTACATCTGAGGTACTTGTAATCATAGCTTTTCCTGTATTTGTTTTCTAAGCCCACCTACTATAGCATAAGCTTCCAGAGGGGACTGTTCCATGTCTCACTGAACTTTTGCATTTCCTATAGCAGCTAGAACTGTACACATAGCAGACAATAAATGTTTGTCAAATTCAATAAAACTGAATATAAAAAAAATTTAAACCCCAAAATAAAGACTAGTCCCAAATCAGTTTTTAATTCTGGAAAACATAATATAAAGAGAAATTAAACATAATAAAAGGAATGAAACAGTTATTGGACATTAAGTCCCAAGGGGGGAAAACACCAAAAACTATGTGTTTTAATCTTATAAGACCAAAAACATTTCAGGGAACGAACATACCCTTAGAATATTTGTTTTCTATACAACACGAAGCCCTCTCTGATCTCTCTTTTAAGCATTTCTTCAGCCTCATACCTACTTCTCCCTGGCACACTGATGCTACAACTAATGCTACAGCCACATCAAGCTCCTTAGTTACTAAATACCCTGTGCCTTTACACGTGATGTTCTTCTGCCTCAAGCACTGCTCATCGTCATTCAAGACTCAGACGAGTATCTCCTCACTGAAGATTTCTCTCCCTAAAACAATGTCTTGTTTGAACATATTTCTACTATAACACTCAACACTGTGTATACCATGATTAGTTTCCTTGAGTTCAAACACCATTTTCTTAACTGTCTCTCTATCCCCGGTGCCTGGCCCATACTAAGTGTTCCATTAATGTTTACCACATGAGTGACTGAATAAATGCATAGGTAAACAAATATTCCTAGTCAGAAGGTTATGCTATTCCCGTTTACCATTCTTTAAGAAGGGGCAGTTTATTGCCCTTTGTTTCTATTGCTAGAAAATGGTTTTCCAATCTCCTGCTATCAATGAGATGGATGATGATGTTGTTAGCTGCCTCCAAGTCGGTCCCTTACTAGTGGTGACCCCATGCACAATGGAATGAAACATTGCCCAGTCCTGCGCCATCCCCATGATCAGTTGTGGATTGGACCACTGTGATCCATAGGGTTTTCACTGGCTGATTTTTGGAAGATCTCCAGGCCTTTCTCCCTAGTTGGTCTTCATCTGGAAGCTCCACTGAAACCTGTTCAGCATCATAGCAACACGCAAACCTCTGCCAACAGGTATATATTGGCCATGAGTTGAACCCCGGTCTTCCACAATGAGACAGCAGATGCTCATCAGCCTGAGACCAAAAGAACTAGATTGGTGCCCAGCCACCACCAATGAACGTCCTGACAGGGAACACAACAGAGGGTCCCTGATGGAGCAGTAGAACAATGGGATGCAGAACTCAAATTCTAGTAAGACTAGACTTAATGGTCTGACTGAGACTGGAGGCGCCCCGGAAAGCATGGCCCCTGGTCTATCACTCCAGAACTAAAACAATTTCCGAAGCCAACTCTTCAGACAGGGATTAGACTGGACTGTGGGACATAAAGTGATACTTGTGAAGAATATGCCTCTTAGTCAAGTAGATACAAGGAACCAAAGGGGCAGTTTCTGTCCATAGGTGAGATGGGCAGGCAGAGAGTTAGGAGCTGGCTGAATGTTCATGGGGAATCAGGGGCGGAGGGGAGGAGTGTGCTGTCGCAGAATGGGGTGAGCGGTTGGGGTCTCATAACAATGTATGTAAAAAAAAAAAAATTCTGTATGGAAGACTCACTTGAAATGTAAATTTCATTTAATTACAACAATAAAAAATTTAAATAAAAAGACTTGACGAAGTTACACAAATGTAATTAGTATCTCTTAGTTTCTAAATTATATTATGATCACCAACAATAGCTCCACAAACAATGGTCTCCCTCAGATCAAATGATCATCTTTTCTAAATTCTTCCCAACCTCTCAGTTAGTTCACAACCATCTTCTTCATCCCAATTAGTCCCTTTGAATCAATCCCTTTTAATCCACTGCTTATCTGACTTTAATTTCTCTACTCCTTAGTCACAAAGGGTCCAGTAAGAAAACTCTTAACAAAAGAGATCCTAAGTTTGAATTTTAGTTCTGCTACTTACTTGCTGTATGATTTTAGTCAAGTTATTTTATCTTCTATGAACTCCAGTTCGTTTGTAAAATGGTGATGTGTAGTACCTACCTCAAAATTTTTGTACATTATTTTTAGAAGTCTTTATGTAAAGCACTAAGCACAGTGCATAGCACACAGCAGGTACTCAATAAATGACAGTTATTATTTTCCTAGTCCCTGGTACAGTTTTAAAAATTACTTAAACCTTCATTATTCCATTACATAGCTAGACCAGACCAGCACTGGATGTAGGTGGTAAATGCTCTGCTCTAGAACACTGCAGATAGGAGGAGAAGCACAACTCTGAGGCAGTCATTTTCATCCTTAACCTTTAATTGTTAGTAAAGCCTCCAAACTTCCCATCACTCTTATCCACTAATCTTACTTCCCTCTTCCCACAGCACTGTTTCTTAAACACAATACATTATAAACTCCTAAAAAGCTTTTAAGAAGTTGGTTAATCATTGTGAATATTCCATCTTCACATGATAATTGTCCCCTTCTGAGGCAAATCTTTGTACTCATAAGGACTTCTTATGTACTCGGGTTTCCAAATCCTTGATACACTAGATAGCAATATTTGGAAGCAACTGAGTTTCTCAATAACATTGTTAAAATACATCTATCCAAAGTAGATAAACTACTTCATGTTTTATTTGGCCAGCACAACCTATAAGGGAGGTATTTCTTCCCTTCACCTGACTACTTTATAGACTTCAATCAATACCACCATGGACTGTGTTGAGATTTTTTTTCATATCTACATTACCACAACAGCTCTTACTAAATCTTTTACTCAAGTAAACTGCTGCCAGGCCAGATTACAATGTTTTCAATTCCTTTTTAAAACTCAATGCAGTATTTTATTTTTCTGTTCATAATCATCTTGTTTACCCTAGCTTTTAGCTTCCAAAAATATTTCTGAATCCAGTGTATTAGTGATTGCTTTCAATACTAGGTTTTCCTTACTTTAAGCATGATATCTTTCCTTCATCTAAATCACTAAGTAAATGTTCAGCAGAATGGGACCAAAGAAAATATTACCTCTTCTTCTAATTCCTTAGACCAAAAAAACAAACCTGTTGCCATTGAGTTGATTCCGACTCACAGCAAGCCTATAGGAGGGAGCAGAACTGCCTCATGGGATTTCCAAGGAGAAAGTGATAGATTTGAACTGTTGACCTTTTGGCTAGCAGCCAAGCTCTAAACCACTGCACCATCAGAGCTTCTAATTGATTAGTAAATTATAATTCTGTTCATGTGTTCTTTTTCTCCAAAACCAGTCTTCTCCCTCATGGATTTCCCCTGATTTCTATGACACGTGTAAGACTGTTCAGTCGTTTACCAGAACTATAAGACTTTTAGAGTTAGAAGGGACTTTCCAGGATCCTCTAGTCTCGCTCAACTCACTGCTTTACAAATAAAAAACAGGAAATCAAGGAAGTTTAACTACATATACTAGGTCACGTGACTAGTTAGTGTATATCTGGGAGCAGAACTAAGGAATTTCAACTCAACAAACGTATAATGTTCTTTCCATTTATGTATTTCATCTATCTCAAATAAAATACATAACTAATTTTTATTATTCTGTTTGATCTAAAACAATGCATTCTTTTGTTTTTAAAGCTATTCTTTTGGCTACCACACCAGGAGCAAATATGCTGTTTCATCTACTTTTTATGTCTGTTCAGGGAGTAATGGGTGAGTAGCCCGTGTCTACTCAGACAAGCTGACCAGCAAAATAAATGTTAAGTTTGGGGGGTGCCATAGGAATTCAGGAAAGTCATAGTTTGGTTACAAATCTCAAAATCCTGAACCTCAATCTACAGATGCATTTCAAATTAACTATCAACCTGCTAGAATTCAATAGAAAGAATAATTTTATCACTGTACTGATAAGATGATGTACTGAATCACTGTATCAACGATACAGTATTTTTTTTATATCATTTCTGGTTGATTTATGGTCAATATCACTTAAAACCAAACCTAGATATGAAACCCACTGTATTATTAATAATAACAACTGCCTTGGCCTTTCTACCATGAAAGGTAATGATCTGTGAGTGGCTTACAGTAAAAATATGTTAACAAATGAATAAAAAATAAAAATGTTAAAAAATGAATACAGTAAGTTGTTTAAAAGGAAAACTAGGTAAACTTTCTGAAAATGGAAATGCAAAGATCTGAAAAAATCAACAACTCCCAGAAACAGATATTCCAGAGAAACTGACCAGGCCGTCAAAGCTAACTAAAGAAACAAACGACAGCTTTCATATTACCACACTCTTTTTCAATGAAATACTTGCTCCTTTTCCATTTTGCCCTTTTCCCTAGAATCTTTCGACAGGTTACTCTGTTTCCTTAGATTCCTTATACATAAGTAACTTCTACAACAATTCCTCTGTTCATTTTTATAGAAATACCATGTGAAATTGCTCAAGCAGATCATTTAAAAATTATTTTACTTATGAAAAATCAAAACAAATATTATTTGACATATCACCTATTATTTAGCTTATATTTCATAAACACCACAAAGCATCAGATTCTCCAGACCAGAAACCCACCAGATTCTCCCCAATGGAGTCTTTTTCCTTTAAATTCACAAAGGTGAAAACTCTAATTCAAAAACCACAATAGGAAAACTATGGATTTAATAAACAGATTAACTTACTGAAAAAATCTTTAAAGACGTTTAACCAATCCATTTTGAATAAAAATCCAATGTTCTCTTTTGTCAGTTTGTTACAAAGCTCTGGATAATTTTCAGTGAGCTTCCTGGTCTGTCTTACAACACTGAAACTTCCCACACCCAATCCATGTGACTTGGCCCACACCCAGGCAATAGGAAGTTTCTCTGTGGCTTCTCTCTTTAAAAAAAAAAAAAAAAAAAAATTCCCCCTAAACTATGAAAGAACCTAAAAAACAAGTGTATGACAGTCACAAATGCGACCTATTATTCAGACTTATTTTGGAAGAAGCTTTAAAGCATATACTTTTCCAACAGTTAAAAATATATTTAAGCATTCACTCTTTGTTTTCTCCTTTTTCTTCTTTCAATGTTTCCACCAGCACAATCATTGCAAAGCAAATCCGTTAATTACATGGGATGTTTAAGTTACCAAAAAGGAGCGCAAAAATTCTGAGAAAGAGGAGAAGGCTGACTGATGCAAAAGTTGGACTAAAATCATCATCATAGAACCCCCAAGATTATGGCCCTATGACACACTCTCCTGACTTGGAACTAAAGCCATTCCCAGAGACCATCTTTCAACCAAACAATAGACAAGCCTATAAAATAAACAGTAACACCCAAGAGAAATGTGTTCCTTAGAACAAACAATTATACAAGATCAAAAGGATATTTGCCCAAAAGCAAAGACAAGAAGGCAGAGGAAGGGGTAGAAAATCCGAAGAAGGAAACTGGAACCCAGGGCAGAAACGGGGAGAATGCCGATGCATTGTAGGGAATGCAAAGTAATGGAACACTTCATGTACAAACTATCGAATGGGAAACTAATTTGCTCTGCGAACTTTCACCTAAAGCACAAAAAAAAATTTTTTTAAAAAGATTAGACCCATAGGACAAAACGAGACTAAAGGGGCACACCAACCGAGGGGCAAGGACTAGATGGCAGGAGGGGACAGGAAAGCTGGTAATAGGGAACCCAAGGTTGACAAGGGAGAGTACTGACATGTCATGGGGTGTTAACCAATGTCATAAAACAATATATGTACTGTTTAATGAGAATCTAGTTCGTTCTATAAAACTTCATTCAAAGTACAAAAAAAAAAAAAAATAACAATAGGAGAAACTGTGCAGAGGAGAGAGGGAATATGTGAGAACTCTATGCACAATTTTCCTGTAAACCTAAAACTACTCTAAAAATTAAAATGTATTTCTTTTTTAAAAAATCATAATTATACAGGTTAACTATAAATCTGTAACTTAAAACAATGTTCCTAAACAGCCTGGAATACAGGTAGCAATAACCGCAATATAGTAATAAAGTTAACAGAAATTTTCTAAAACTTAAATATATATATAAAGTCTTGCTAAAACTGTCTCAATGATATCGGAAAACAGTAATTAAAGTTTGTTAGAATAACAAATAATAAAAATTGTAATTTGGCTTTTAAAAAGTACATGCAATAGTATCTAAAACTGAGATTATTTCCTCTTTGCTTGATAAAGTTAGTTTTTTTCACTCTCTTTTGTTAACTGTCACATCTGCTCCAGTCCCGGGATACGAGTATCCTTTTTGAAAGGAACAAATAAATCTGGGTATGGCCCTAGTCCTTTCTGTGCCTTTATCACTATCAGACATATTTTCTTGACAAAAGTTACCTTAATTTTCCCCAATATCACTAATCAACATGTTTTAAACAAATATCCAATATTTATAAAATCAGAAATATTCCTGATTCTAACTCTGATCTCTTCAACTGTTCAAGGGAAACTTTTCTGTCTTCCATTCAAAAACCATTAAAAATAATGGTCTTATTTATAAAACCTTAAAATCTGAAGGAAAAAAAACCAGTTACCCAGATACAGTAGTTAAATGTCACGGCGAAAATTCAGATTGATAACTCTCTACTAAATCACCTTTACAATACTAGAAAATGTTTTTAGCTCGGAAACCAAGATTCTGGTATTTTATATCTTACGTTTTGAATTGTACCGTTTTTTAGCTTTTGCTATTTAAAACTGGTTAAAAATGTTAGATTTGTCTCCTACTGCTGACAGTTAAAAGGACACTCTAATTTAAAATAATAATGTCGAATAAAAAATTACTAATATAAAGCAGTTAGTCAATAATCTTTCATATCTGTCAGTCATCTACACTGCTCCCAAATTATTTTTGCAACAAGAAATTTTACTTTCTTTTCTACACATATGTAAAGCATGCTTGCCTGAATACCAAAAATGAAATTCTGTTCCTCCCAATTCCTTCCTGTTAGCCAAGGAGTTTAACAGAAAAAAAAAAAAAAAAAAAGAGGCCAGTCCTCCTGTGTGCATTTTCTTCCTTCCTATCAGCTCAGCCAAGCCCAAGGGGAAGCAGGCTTCACCGTTTCTGGCCCTAATAGAGGGTCTCTAAAAATACAAAACTTTTTACCTACTTAGAAACAAACTCAATGCCATCAAGTCAATTCCGACTAATAGTAACCCTACAGGACGGAGGAGAACTGCCCCATTGGGTTTCCAAGGCTGTGATTTTTACGGAAGGAAACAGACTGCCACATCGTTCTCCTGCGAAGCAGTTGGTGGGTTTGAACCACAGTTACCTTTCGGTTAGCAGCCAAGCCAGCGGGGCTCCTCTAAAGGAAGAAAGAAGGTAACACAGAGAAACAAAGTAGGAAAGAAATCAGCTCTGCACATGCTGATCTACAGTAATGATCCACAGTTTAAAACTCTTATCAAATAAAAGAATGAAATGGTGGTTTGTTTTTAAAAACTAAAATTCAGAATGTAACCTGCTAGGCATTAAAATACAACAATGTGCCATCATAAGTAAGTTGCCTTGATACCAAGGAGGCAATACTGCATCTCTCTCCATGCATCCTTGCCTCAATTATGAGCAGAATTTGCCTGTAAGTCTCCGTCTTAGCTATCAAGTGCCACTATAATGGATACCACAAGTTGGTAGCTTTAACCAACAGAAATTTATTTTCTCACAGTTTAGGAGGCTAGAAGTCTGAATTCAGAGCACTGGCTCTAGGGGAAGGCTCCCTCTGTTTGCTATGGGGGAAGAAATCCTTATCCCAGCTTCTGCAGCCAGCCATTCCTGGAGTACCTGGGCTTGTAGACTCTTGAGATAGTGTTGGTCTTCCCTATGTCTACTTTCTTCTTTGCCTAATCTGCTCTTTTACATCTCAGAAATGACTGGTTTAAGACACACCCCACACCGATATGGCCTCGCTAACATAATAAAACCCTATTCCCAAATGGGATAATATCTACAAGTACAGGAGTTCAGATTTACAACACATATTTTGGGGTGACACAATTCAATCCGTAACAGCTTCTGAATTCCAGTAGACACTCATAGTTCCACAGTTCTAGAAGGTCAATTAGTTCTGCTAATTAACACCACTCTGGCTTGACCCTTGAACTCAGACGAGATCTACCTGCTTAGATTTGCAAAAACTACCATGACTTTCACTGGTCTCCTGGCTTGAAAATCTACCATGACACAAACTTACCTTGCCTGGCTGGAATTCCAATTCCTGACCTTTTCAAGCCAGTTCCGCCCCACTGCTGCCAAGATTTTATACAAACAACTAAGCTCCGGAATCCATTTAAAAGAAAGTTGTTTTTGTTTTTAATACAAAAACAACTTACCTAACGTATCCTTTAAGTTTTTTACAATAGATGCTTTCCGAGCACTGTTTTTCCTTTCCACATAGTTAGAAGGCACAAAACCCGTTTTATTCATGGAATTTCGAACTCGCCACCAGGACTTAGAATCATCCAGAAGCCACAATCTTTCATTCTTCTTGATATCCAGCTCTTGTTCTTGTTGGGCCACATAATCAAATTTGGCTACTACCACGACTTCTTCTGCCATCTTTCAGCAGCTTCAGCACTGTAAACACATAGAAAATATTTTTACTTAAGATTAGGGTAGTAGTCTACATGTTTTTTATGAAACACATCTAAAAATCTTAGAACATTAAAAGGGTTGAAAGCAAAAATAGAGAAAACAAAAGTAAGGGAAGGAAAACCTGAACAGAGCCCAGACTTTGGGAAAGCTGAGGAGGATAGAATTTGCGGGCCACAGTACAAGAGAAGAGAAAACTACACCAAGAAAGAGTTTTCAGAAATCTTCATGAGGCCCCTTGAGTCTGTGGCTGAATATTGATTTACTAATACATAAAATAAAATCTTCTGAAGCTCGGCTAAAAACAACTTCCAGAGAAAGAATAACTGCTAGAGAACTATAAGCTGGGCAATTATAAGAGCTAACAGAAGGCCCTGAATTGTTTGAGTTCTCACCAGCCAGAAGAAAGGAGCCACTTTGAATACAGAGCATTCAGCAGAGACCTCAAAAAAGACATGGCTGGGTAGTGGGGCTAAAGAGTCCCAGAGAGCCCTAGCATTGTAAGCAAGTTTAAAAACAATTCTTGAAACTACCAAACTGATCCACATATAATTTGTCTACCACAACAAAGTCCAACAGTCTTCAAAAGGAGACAACAAAATCCAGACACACAACACAAAATTCTCCATGCCCCCTCCCCCCTGAAGAAAACTGAACCCATTGCCATCAAGTTGATTCTGACTCATGATGACCCTATATACCCAGGCTCCAATAAAAAACTAGTAGATATGCCAATGAGCAAGAAAACATGACCTGAAACAAGGGTGGGGGGGCGGTTCACAGTAATAGACCCAGATATGATGGAATAAGCAAACTAGGAGATTGAAACAATTATGTGCTCAAGGATGTAAAGGAAAGCAAGAAGACATAGAAGATTTAGAAAAAGAAACAGAACAAAACATCACTGGAACAAATCTCCCATGCAGAAAAATTCCAAATAATTTACATAGAAACTCCCCTACAAGGAGGCAGCACATAATTCCTACACCTTAGTGAAGACTGTGTATAGTAACATCCTTCAAAGAGTACAATATAGAAAAAGGGATAACTTTACAGTGGAAAAATCTGACAAACACTATCTTAGCCAGGTGATCAATGTTAACGTTAACAGTGATAAACCATGTTGACAGTATGTACCCTTAATACGATGATGTGATGAGAATGACACTATACCTCCATGGTCCTTCTCCCCAAAAAAACTTACATAATCCCTCTAAATCATGGGGGGAAAAAATCAGCTAAATAAAAATTGAGGTACAATCTACGAAATACC